TAGTAATAGTAATAGTAATAGTAATAGTAATAGTAATAGTAATAGTAATAGTAATAGTAATAGTAATAGTAATAATAATAGTAACTTACTACAAGTTCATAAATCACATCCATTAGCATATCATACAAGTAGAATATTAGATTTTGAAATGGCTGGTGATAGTTCATTAAATAAACTTGATGTCAATGCTACTCTCTAAAGTACAATTTTAATAAGGTGAATAAATAGTTAATATATTAAATTTATTATTAATTACCAATATGTTTATTATTTATTAATGATAGTCATCGTTGTGATGAGGTTTAAAATATTTAATTCTATCATTCTTGTATATATATTATGTAAATAAACAATGATAATTTTTTTTTGAGTAGCAAATCTGTTACGCGGTCAAACAATTCTTGGGTGTTTTGCCAGCCAAAACAGTCAATAATTTTTTACTTTTGATGTAAAATTGTCATATCTATTTTATTGGCCATTTTGCCGGCCAGAATCAGCCAAACAGCCAAATGCCAATGCTAATGTTTTTACATAAAGTAAATATTTTAAAGCCATGTATCTCATTATTATACCAAGTAAATAGAATCTAAAATTTTCAACGGTTATGATAATTATGATATAGATATATATAACGCAAAAACCTTAATTTTGGTCTAGGCCTTATACCCAGTTTTTGCCAGAAAAACTTTCAAATAAATGTTATCGAACTACACTCTTTAGTTTAATTTTCAAAATATAAGCTCTATAAATTGTCCGACTCGGCTATAGATTTCGTACTTTAATCTGGAGCTTTGAGGCGAATTTGTTGTCATTTGATAAAATAACGACTACTTGATTGTCCTTTTGTTAACCCGACGTTTTTTTTCAACCACAGCATCCAAGGTTTAAGAACTTCGAATAGTTGAACAGCCTATATGGCTTATTCATAACACCACAAACTCAATATTCGAGTAGTTATTTTAACCTTTTTCTAAATTGGAAAAGCTAAAATTGCTTTATTAGCAGACTCTTTAGCATAATTACCTATCTATATAATAACAACAACTTTATTCAATCAAATGTCTAAAATAAACTTACCGAATTCTCCGTCTTTCACAAATTTGGTTTTGAAAAAAATTGACATGTCTTAATAATAGAAATTGTCAAAGTATCTTCTACAAACAAACAAATTAATTACCTGCTGCATGAAAGATAACTCTAACAGGGGATGATAACGCTTGGAAAGAATAGATAAATTTAGTGATTGTAAAATTAATAAGTCTAAAAGCCATCCTTAATTTATTTAATTTTTTTGAGAGTTGCTTAATTATAATAACAAATCTCAATTATCGTCACTATTTACTAATACAAAGGAAAGAATTGGAGGCTATGTTTACATCAGTAATTTTTATTCAAATGAGCATTAATTCGTCCTAAATTAAAAGTACATTTAAAAGAACACACATTTCACCAATTAGTAATTTTTATTTATAAAAAAAGTAAAGCGCAGAAACAGGTAAATATATTTCTTAGTTTTTTCAATAAATATCATTGAGATAATAAAAGACCAACGTCATCATTTATGCAAAACAAACACATAAAGAACCAATTTGTCATGGATAAAAAAAAACCATCCATTAAATGATTTGAGAGAATTAAAAATAAATATTTAATAAGTTAGTTAATTTACAATAAATTAGGGTTTTTGATTCTGGAAATCACTCAAATTCCCAAATGCAGCAGATGTAACTTATCCCAAAAAAAAATGATTTTAAAAAGGATCGTCACTGATCAACTGTCTTTACACTTCTTCCCGTGGCGGCTGTTTTTCCAGTTGTTGACGCCTTTTTTGCTCCTTTTTAACGGATTCTAATAATGAAGTATCAACAACAAAATCTTCAAGAAATATTCTAAAACTTTCTAATTTTCTAATTCTTTCCGAGAGTATCTCAGGTGCTGTAGAACTCCCGGGTTCTGTAGGAGTCTCGGTCACTGCAGAACTCTTAGAATTCTTGAGTTGTTCTTTCGTGCCAGACTCCAAAATTGGTATGAGGCTAACTTTGGTCTCCCTTCTGAATCCGCAGCATCCGGTATGTATAAAACCCCATGGCTTCATGGACTCAACCCCTAAAATTTTTGAAATGAGTGAATAAATTATGATACACATTGATTTGGCAAAAAAAAAGTCAAATTACCAAATAAAAAGACATAAATGAATACAACAGAACTGTAGTATGCGGCTATGGTTCCTAATGCGGCCAACAACTATTTATCCAAATGGGCGATGATCACTACGTTGTATAATAAGTTTTCAAAAAATGATAATATTTTACTTACGGTACTGTGCCTATTATATAATCATTATTTGTAAAGCTATGTTAATAAAATATTAGCAAGATGATCAAATTAATTTTATTTGATGGATGGTTTTTACCTTTGCTCTTGTTCCTCTTCTGTAATAAAGTTATGTGGACTAATACGTACAGTCAGGAAAGCTGTATTAGAAGGCTGCGCCGGGATATCCTCTGTGATTATTAACATCAGGTTAAAAATGTGTACGTGATGATATAAAACTTTTAAACAAATATTCTTACGTATAGTTGATTCAATATAATGTTGTGTAAAGTAATTTTCAGATGGAATGCCCACGTAATTCAAAAACGTCGGAATCAACGTCTTTCTGGTTTTCCTAGAGTATCCTAGTTTAAACAACTATTGATTTTTGATAAATTTTTTAACTATTGTCAATTTGAAAATTCATCTTTCTCAAGTACACTTACAAGATTTCCCGTTAAAGTATACTTATTCATATAGAAAAGTGACTCTTCATATGGAGACAGCGAAGGATCAAAATATTTACGCTCAGTATCATATACATATTCATTTTCTATTTATTTATGGCATGGCATATTATTATCAATACAGCAAAATATAAACAAGATCTGCCATCAATTTATAAAAAACTTACCTGCATCATACGCAGTCATCCTAAGTTCTCGGGTGTCATTATTAAATTTTGGATCCTTGATATTTACATAAAGTTGAACAAAATGTGGACTTGTATCATCATCATATCTGGCCAGCATTACATTTCCTTTTGGTGAAAAGGTTCCAACAAAAGGAAAATCTTGAAAATGGATATTTGTTGGTTGTGTAACATATTGATCGCAACTGGTCGAATTTACTTTTGTGCGAAATATACATAATGTGAGCCAATAATAAAGCAAAATTATAAGGCATAATCAAAATTCCTCTTACTTCCATCGTAATCGTAAAATAATGAACACGAAATGGTAAAATCTTGACTAAAAGCTAAATGGACGGCTGCATTGATTCGCGGGTTTGATATTAGAAAACATATTATTGATTTTGGTTATATTTTCGACTCAAAAAAACTATTTTTACCTGGCGCGGGTGGATTCTTCAATGGTAAAATAGAGATAGTAACATTAGGCTGTTCAGTAAACACCTTAACACACAATATTATAAGGGAATAAATTAAAAATAATAATGATATGATAATAAAAGAACGTCGAAAAATTAGAATCGATTTTGGCTCGGTTTCTTGCGGTTTTCTATATATATGACTTAGCATTTTTATTCCTTGATTATTTTTTCAAGAACAAGGAAAAGGGTTATATTTATATTCCTTGCATTTTAGCCACAAATAATGAATTTTTAATGAACTCTATATTGAGCAATATGTACAATAATCCATCGCTTATAGAAGAAAAACAAAAATTTTTATATTATTTTAAAAAATTCCATTTTGTTATCATCAATATACATTTAAAAAAGTAAATTTTGAGTTACAAATTTTTTTCCTATAAGTACACATTTCTTTTATCGTGCATTTAATTTATGTATGTGCATTCGGTACACAAAATACAAACCAAAAAGAATATACCCGTCAATTAACGCAGGACCCCGGATTATCATAATTGAGGTCTTCATGGAAATATCGACTTTTAACATTCATATTGTGCCTATATTATTCATTCTAAGAAGGTTTTTGCATTTATGGTAAACAATTGAGCTTAAAAGATTCTGGGGTGAATATTACTTAAACCATCATGCAAAGGGTGTTGGATGTAAAGCAAAAGAGGCGTAAAGAACAATTTTCAATTTTTACAGAAAGTTCAGAAGAATTTGATTCTGTTGTATATGATATATGGATGATGATGACTTACTCCAAGTATGAAATGATGATGATACTTTAATCTCAAAACAAATACATGTCAATACTCAATTGTGAAATATGGCAAGCCATACTTCCTCACATGTGCACATTCTTATTCATGTCGATATTTTTAATGATTTAGTTAAGGAAATGTAATATTTTGACTACCTAATGTAATTTATCATATTTCTGAATCAAAAGTTTTAATTGTTGTGATGAATGTTTTCAGAATAATATTATTGAATAATCCAATAACTGATGATTATCAAGATTGCATAATAAGTATCACTTTTTGGTTTGCTTATTCGTCGGTAAATTTTTGAGGTCATGTTTAAAAGTTTGTTTATTCATTTAGTATTGGTAAAATTTTTGAATTTAATTATTGCCTATATATGTATTGTTCTGGGTCCACAGTCAAACCCTAATTTCAACGAACTTCGATTCGGCGAATTTTTGTTTCAATGAATTTTTGTTTGGCTTTTTTTTTTTTTTAGCAATAAGATACAGTACAATGGAATTAAGTTGGTGCAATGGAAATTGACAAAAAAAGAATTTTGCTGTTTCACGAAAGTAAAAAGCGAGAAACAAGATTAAAATTTCGGATGCACAGTGAGCATGTGTTACATTATTTTTTATTTTTTTTTTAAAATCAATGAATTCATTCCATTCATTCGTTAATAATTAATAATATTTTTTAGACTGTTTTAGTGTAAAAGATTTAATCTTTTGCATTCAGTCACAAAATCTTTATCCATCTTCAGGCAATCAAAATCAAATGAAAGGATATCCAACTGGTCCCAAGAACGAGCTTTACATAGAACTAACCTGGGGCGAACATATTTTCATCAATCGTTAGTCACATGTGGTATTATCACGTCTTGGGTCTTGTGAGTTGTTAAGGCAAATGCATTTTGCAATGTGAATTGGCGCCTTGAAGCGTGTGTACCATTTATTTCAAAATTTATAGTGATTTTTTGAACATTCATTTTAATAATGTTACCATTAGTTGGAAAAGTAACTTTTAAATTATCATCATCTATAACTTTGGTGGTAACATCTATTATTCCATTGCAGATGTCATGTTCAAACAGCTTACCAATGAACTCACACTTTAATAGTAATTTCTCGTTGTCGTATAACATTATCTGTATCAAAAAAATTTACCAATCGTAAATTTAAGCCATAAATTAAGTTATTGTTTATTGTTTAAAAAAATAGATTCTGTTTGGTAATTATAATAATAATATTCATTAGTTGCGCAGCTTCGGGACACTGCGTAAACAATTTAAAAATGTTTTTCGGATTTTTGACGTATTTTTTTTGTTTACCTAAAAAGTAATAATTTTGGTTGTGCAGCTATGTAAACAATTGAAAAAACGGTTTTTATTTTATTGATAAAAAGTACCAATTTTGGAAATTTATATGAATTTGCAATTCACGTACGTGAAATTCAAATTAGCCAACCAAAATAGTTAAATATTAACATCACTAAGAACGATCGCGTGATTGAATTCTAATGTAATAACCAAAATTTTTAATTCATAAAATATAAATTTAAATAAACATAATAATAAATCCTTAGTTCTTCTAAAAGTCTTAATTGAAACATTATTATTTAATTTTTATTGAATTTGCTTTATAATTTTTTTTTAGTGTCTTTTCTTCTTGTTCAGTAATATCTATAAAATAATAATAATAATATAACATCATATACCATATATTTCATAAAACAATAAATGACTTTTTATTATTTTTTTGTATAAAAGGTATAATGCTTCCTCTTCAATATAGCTAAAAAATTATTTGAATAAATCTATAATATGCCATATTTTTTTTTTGTATAAAAATATAAAGCTTTTTCTTCAATATAGATATAAATATTTGTACTTACTGTATAGCTCACTCTTCTCTATAATAGATATTTCTATAATGAAACTTGCTCTATAACAGACTGAGAATTTAAGCACAATTTATATGTCCCATGTATAAATTATTAATATTAATAACAGATTCTCTCTATAATTGAGCTAAATGATCTGTTTATTATAGAACTATATACATTGCACAAGACTAAAGAAAATTTTTTATATCAAAGTAACCTTCGAATCCATGGCTCTCCATAGTAAACTTTTTTTTTTGTTAAAAAAAATTAATCTTTGAGTTTTATTCTATCTATATACATAAAAAAGTATAGTACAATTTTTCTAACAAAGGTAGTTGATTAGCAGTTTTTGCGACATTTTTTCCCCACTGATCATTATTATATAACATTCACTCATTCATATGTATCACTAAATAATATTCATTGGTTAGTTACTAGTAATGATCACCATATATAAATTATCCAATCAATTTCATAATTTTTTTAAAAAAAAAACAATTTAGCCCAGTGGAGAACAACAGACAGTGGATTTAAAACTTTATTGAGTGACTATTTCATTTGCATCATACATACAACTTTGCAAATTATACAAAGTTTGTATATAATAAATTTTTTTAACCCTGCCTGTCTGAGGAGGATACAGGCGAATTACGACTTTCAAAACAACCAAAGGCAGGGATTTACATTATAATTTTAACAATTAAACAATCATTTGGTATGGTTCCGAAGAAAATACCTTATTTATTAATATTGTTTTTATAAAATTGCCTAAAGTAACCTCCTTATTAACATGCAAAATTTGGTTATTGGAAATTTAAAGATACTGAAAGTTATTTCAGGATCAATTAAATATCCTTGTATTTCTATAGATCAGTGTTGTGAATATGGTAGTTCCAATGAATTTCAATTGGAATTGGAACATGACAAAAAACAATCACCATCTAGCAAAGTATAAGGAAAACAAAATCAATGGAATATGTGTGCTGTTTGTATTGCTTGCCATGAAAAGCTGGATGTAGATGAATTATCAAAGGAAAGTTTTATTTAATGATAAACATCTAGCAAGAGCCAAATGTGAACTTATATACTAGAATATTTAATTCATAATATGTAATTAAATGTTGTTTTTTGTATATATATATTTTTTTTTCATATGATTTATATAAATAATAAAATTAAAAATTTTTTATGATTCTAATTTCTTCATGCATGCCATGTGGAACTACTTCATCGGAAATCTGTAATTATTAGTCCTCAATTTACCATGTGATTAATTTTTGATTGAATGATAATATTGATAATGTGAAACCTTCCAACCTTCCAATAACATTTCATTGGACAGTCTGCATTGGAAGATTGGCATTTCAATAGCTTTGGAATTGGAACATTCCAATATTCCAATTGAACATCACTACTATAGATCAAAGACTATCCCAACCTGAATACCCTGAAGGTATGATATGCAATGAATTTCAGAGGCTGTCTCTTGACCCTGAGGTTTATTGAAATTGTATTGTCAAGAGACTGTTAAAGCCTCTCTCTAGCCTCTAATTTGTACTAGGACTTCACCTGTGGAGGAGGATTTGCAAAGAGATCTTCACCTTTAACGGAACTATTAAAGAAAGGAGAAGAGTTCAATTGGACGAATAGACAAC